AAAAGAATTTTATGGTTAGGGGGTCACCACAACATAAAGAACTGTATTAAAGGGCCGTGGCATGAGGAAGGTTGAGAACTACTGACTTACATTCTTCCATCCCTAGTTCTGACCTTACTGAATGTATTTCAGTCTCTCCCTCCCTCTTTCCAGACCTCCCTCCATCTGTCTCTGGTTCTGTGTATGTTTCTCGCTCTGTCTGTCTCTCTCCTTCTCTCTCTCTGGTAATTCCAGGCGGGCTCACCATACTGCTCTGCACCCTCCTTCCTGGTGGCTTACCCCACCTGGCTGCAGTCCCAACTGAACAATGGGCATTCTCTCCTCTCTGTCAGGGAACATGTGGTGCCCTTTGATGAGCCTGCTTTTTTCCATCTATGAATCAGAGTGGGATTATGAGGGGGGGAGAAAAATCCCCCTTTGAGTTGATCATGGAGGGTGGAAAAGAAAACCCTGACCATGAAATGGAAGTGTTGACTGTGAGATTTCTCACGTAGCTCAACAGGCACATCTATTTGTCCTGCAACTTCAAGAAAGGGAAGACTGCTGGACAGTCCTGTTGTCTTCCTTTTGGTACTAGAAGCGTCCTTCTCAGGCAAGTACATGAAACATATGGAAAGTACCCAGCACAGGGTCTGTCACACTAATTTTACTCTCAACTCACTTGTTTACTGTGCAGTTACATACTATCTCACCTAAGCTTCACAAGCCTCCCAAACATTCACTCAACAACTACCTCTTGCACTCTTAGTATGAGCCAGGTATCATGCTAAGCGCTGGAGAAACCACTGAACCAAAAACAACGCCCCTGCCTTCTTGGTGCAAAGTCTGATGTGGGAGTTGCAAAAGATACAGATAAATGTACAACTGCAGTGTAACATGAAACGGTAGCTGGTGCCCAGAACCAGGATCGAGGAAATCAAGGAAGGCTTCTCGGTGGCATTGAGGTGTGAATTGCGATCTGACAAATATGTACACATTAACCAGGTCAACAGAGGGCGAGTGCAGACAGCAGAGACGGATAGGGCAGACTGTGGACATCTGTGGAATCAGAGTCGACGCTGAAGAGGCAAGGGCCTTTCCCCCAGAGACTACAGGAAAACCAAGCCTTCCCCTAGCGGAGCCCGGGGGATTTCGACCTTGCAGACCACTGGTTCTCGACCTTCCTAATGCCTCGACCCTTTAACGCAGCTCCTCATGTGGTGGTGACCCCCCCACCATAACATTATTGTCGTTGCTACTTCATCACTGTCATGTTGCTACTGTTATGAATGGGGCGACTTCTCTGAAAGGGTCGTTCGACCCCCCCAAAGGGGTCGCGACCCACAGGTAGAGAACCGCGGTGGTAGGCTGAGGCCTTAACTGCCATCAGCTGTGTCCGAGTGCAGAGCCACGGGTGGTGTCCAGAATCAAGCTTCCGATCGGAGGCCTGGTTTGCAACGAGCTCGGATCTCTTTGTTTGCGGAGGCGGTTGGGGGTCAGGGCGCTCTGTGCTTCAAGCCCGGGGCCGTCCTGATCCCGGTCCTGATCCCGGTCCTGATCCCGGTCCTGATCCCGCAGCACCGCGGCGTCTGCGTTACGAGAGGCGGGAAGGCCACTTCCGGCGCGCACCCAAGAGGAGGTTCTGCCGAAATCACGGCTGTGAACGTGAATTCAACCGAGGAAGGAAGCCCCGCGAGGCGGCGGGGGCTGGCGCGTCGAAGGCCTCCCCGAGACCCTCGACAAGAGACGCCGCTGGTTCAGAGGCCGCCTCCCTCAGCCCAGAGCCGACCAGAGGAGGAACACGGAAGTGATGGGACTCACGAAGCACGGAAACGCGCGCGGCTCCTGGGCCTTCCCACTGCGGCTGCGCGCCCGGCGCTCCGGAAACGGAAGTGCACTTGCCCAGAAGTCACGGTGGGCGTTCCAAGATGGCGGCGCTCAGCTCGCTGGTGTCGGGCTGCGGGCGGCTGCTCCGGGGCTTCCTAGCGGGCCCGGCGGCGACGAGCTGGGCCCGGCTTCCAGCTCGCGGGTTCCGGGAAGGTGAGTGTGGGGTCGCGACCACCCTGCCGAGGTTGGAGATGAGAAGTCCCCGTTCGCCCCGCCTTGCCCTTCCCTTCGCTGGGTTCTGACAGGTCGAAGGAAGGGGTCGGTGCCCCGGGGGTGCGCGCAAGCCCTGATGCTCTGCCCTTGCCCGCCCTCCCCTGTGAGTGCCCGCAGAGGGAGGGAACGAAAGACCGGTTTGGTCAGCAGGAGCCGAAGGAAATCGGTGCCAGGGTTTAGAACGGTTCTCAGTAAGGATCTGCTAGGTAATTCTCCTTTATTTCCCGAACCGCTTCCTTCTTCATTCAAGAGCCCCTGGGTCTTCCTTTCCATGTCCCCATCTAAACAGGTTGTGATCTGTGGGCGGTTTTCTCTGCCCTTGGAGGCCGGGGTTGAAAGGCCCTTGAGAGGCTGATAGGCAGTTGCGAGATCTTGGGCCGGCATTTCAGAAAGACGACCTGGTTCCAGCAACAACTTTGAGCGTACTAAAAGCCGAGAACTTTAAAAGAGAGCAGACAGCCCTTTCCCAGAAATGCTTAGATGATATGTGTACATGCCAATACAAGGCATGCATTGATTAAATGCAGGGAGGGCCTGTTACCAGAGGCATTTAGAATTTGTTATAAAGAGGTGTGTCACGACAGGCTATCACAGAATAGAATCTAAGGAATAATTTTAAAAGCCTTCGGAAACATAGCCTACTTTGTATACTGCTAGAAGCAGGAGAGAATAGGTGCGTGATGGACAAGAGAAGTGATTACACACACACACACACACATCACCCTAGAAGCTAAGTAGAATCTAGAGGAGGAGAATATTTAAGGAACTTAAAAGTCCAAGAGATGAAACCAGAGGCATTGTCCAAGAAGTCTCCTTGTAGCGTTCCAACAGCAATTCCAGCAGAATGCTCAAGATCCTGTTTGAGGAAATCAAGATAGTTGAAGGAGAAATGGAAGTTGAGAGTATGTCCGAAGAATTTAGCTATGAAGGGGAGACTGGAACATTCCCGCAAACAAACAACACAGTCCAGATACTGCCTTGGTAACAGTAAATGAACTAATTGCTCCATCAAGGCATAAAAGAGGTCATATTTCGTGAAAAGTGTTTCATTCCCATTCTGCAAAATATGCCCTGTTTTTAAGGTGCATGCCAACTGTCAATCGCTGGCTACAATTAGCACATCCCTTATAAAATTTGAAGGTTAAGAGGGTTTATTTTTGCTGTGTCTCCTGATAGGCAAAAAAGCTCACTGCCATCAAGTTGATTCTAGCTCATAGGGACCCTCTAGGACAGAGTAGAACTGTCCATGTGAGTTTCCCAGACTAACTTTTCACGGGAGTAAAAAGCCTCCTCTTCCTGCTGCAGGGCGGCTGGTGCTTTTGAACTGCTGACCTGGCAGTTAACAGCCTAACTAAGGAATACAGCTCTTGTATTCCCTGATAGGCTAGAGCAGGGTTCGGCAAACCTTTGAGACAGAAGAGCCGATCCTGTCCCTCATAACAATTTAAAAATTATTCAAGAGCCATAAACATATCTTTACAAACAAGTGAAATCATCGTTATATGAAAACAAAACTATGATAGTTTTATTGTCATTTTCACTTCAGAGCCGCATGTACGAATGCAAAGAGCCGACCCCTGGGCAAGAGGAATAGATTTTTCTTATAGTTTGCGATTAGATTTAAAAGAACTTTTTTCAAAAGTTTGTGAAATTATAGACTATATAAACCAGGTGGGTCGCTAAAGCCCTACTCTATACACATCAAAGTAAGTCACAAATGTAGTATTCCCCAAAACACTGAAACTTGTATTAAACAAAAACCAAGACGTGGCACTGTCTTTTAGGGCTAGGTCTGTACATGTCTGAAGGTGGAGTTTCCATTTCTCTGTTTCCCCCTGAAGAGTTCTGTGCACGTCCGTTTACGCGGCCACATCAAAGTGGCGGTGTGGGAATCTTCAAGGAACTCACATCGTGTTCCTTCTCAGTGTTCTTTGCTTTGGGGACACCAAAGCGTCAGAAGGGGCAGCAGGATCAGTACTGTAGGGAAGATGGATGGTTTAAGGTCTCAACAAAATTCTCTTAAGACGGCCCTTGCTGCCCTCAAAGAATGAGCAGGTACATTATTGATACAAAAAAAAAAATTGGAATAACTTTACTGGCCTTTTCCCAGCAGTGCAGTTCTCTGTTTCCTGAAAACGTCTTCCTAATAGGCCCCTGTGACCAACCTATATCCTTGGAGAAAATCTGTCAAGACTGCCGTTTTGAAATCCAAGAAGAAAAACTGTCACCCTAACCTCTGGGCTGGCTTCTCTGTCCTGGAGTCAAATCCCCGCGGAAGTGGCTTTTTCTTTTGGATTTCCTTTTTGAAGGCATCCTAGCAAGACTAAGACAGGTATTACTGAGAGAACTTATCTGCAACCACTGATCCGAGACGTGTTTAAACATACTTTTGTTTGGAATAAACCCAGGCATGTGTGAAGTGAAACCCCAGAAGCAGTACTTTTTGACGTGCCCTCATCCTTGGCTTTCACGTGTGGTTTGTTGCCTTTCGTATTCATTTCACCCCTTCGTGAATAGCCCTTAGCCGCTCAGTGCTCGACTGACTTGAGTAGGATCTTGCATGCAGCTACTCAAAACCACAAAACCAAACTCCCTGCCATCGAGGCAACGCCGACTCCTAACAACCCTAGGAGACCCCTGTGAGTGTCCAAGAGTGTAACTCTCTACAGGGGCAGAAAGCCCCGTCTGAGTCTCACGGAGGGGCTGGTGTTGTCGAACTGCCGACCTTGGAGTAACCCAGTGTGTACCCACTACTCCACGTGGGCTCCGCATGCAGCCGTACTACCCACCATCCATCATCTATAGACTTTTCGAGAGCCACCTTGTCTATAAAATAAATATTATGCCTAAAGTTAATTTTGACTGGTCCAAGCTGGTATATAGAACTCCCAAGTAATATTGTACACAAAGAATTTAAAGTCATGGGAATTAGCTGGATTTCTTGCTTTAGGCATTCTTGTTTAGGCATCCTACTTTTCCAAGAATTGAATAGGACTGTGTAATTTTCATCAAGCGAGGACTGAGCCGCAGGGCCAGTGTCTGGAGATATTTTTGGCTGTGAGGACTGGTACTAGTGGTAATACTGCTAAACATCTTACAATGCACTGGTGGATGCCCCACCCACCCACCCCCAGCTCAAAGCTGCACCACCTTTGAGACGCCTGCTCTCAAGGCTTGGCAAGAGGAACACACAAAGCCAAAAATATAAATACTTGAATATATGAAAGAAGCAAGATTGAACAGGGCCGCAAATGAAAATTACAGTTTTGTAAGTGCCTTCTGCAAGCAGTGTGCTAGTTTTTTCACATGCATGCCTTCAGCTTTCTCAGTCATCCATTAAGGACGTCATTGCCGTGCTCACTTTGACAGATGAGCAGATCCGGCCCAGGGGCTGCCAGTGGGCTGCCCACCATCACACCTGGGGAGGAGTGGAATTGGAAGAAGAGTCAGCACTCTTCCAGGCTACCAGACTTAGCAGAGATTGTGTTAGACCTACGCCCAAACCCACTGCCATTGCATTGATTCTGACTCACAGCGACGTACATATAAATCTTGACAGGAACTGGTAGCATCACCTCTGTCCCATGGAAGAGCTAGTGGTCTTGAACCTTGTGAGCATCCAACAAACACGTACCCCACAAGTGCCACCAGCACCTTAGCCCCGCCTTCTCTCTCCTAGAGCCCTCAGGGAAGAAATACTGAAGGTAAGAAAATGAATGACTATCCGACTCAGCAGAAATGAGCTGCCAGGCGCTTTCTGCAGAGTGTTGAGTAAAGCCAAAGTGGATGTGCTTCAACTCTTTGGGTTAGCTGAGGGAGGACCTCGCATTCCAGACAGCCCTGTAGCTAAAAGCTCTGAGAAAGAAGGGAGGAAGGGGAGGTCTCTAAAGCATTCGAGAGACCTATTCCAGAGTCACCTGCTCGGAGCAAGACACTTCAGTGCGGCTTAAGCTAAGATGCGGGGAGCTCTGCCAAAAAGCCAGAAATCCAAACACCGCCATCAAGTCTGTGCTGAACGACCCTGTAGGACGAGGTAGATCTGCCTTGGTTTTCACGACTAACTGTCCCGAAGCAGACAGCTGCATGTTTCTCCTGCAGAGCGGCTGGGGCTTTCAAATGTTGACCTTTCCGTTAACATCCCAATGTGTAACTCACCACGCCACCGGGCCTCCTGGGAAGTTAGACCCTCTGGGTCAACTACACGCAGGGCCCCACGGTGCCCAGGTTTCAGCGGATCCTCCAGACTTGAAGCCGACTAGAAAGAGTTGCCGATCGACTCCTGTCCCACATTGTGCTGGAGGGTGGTGGTTCCGACCCACCCAGGGTCCCTTCAGAAGACGGTCCTAGTGATGTGCTTCCCCAAAGTTGCAGCCTTGAAAGCCCTGTGGATGATTCTCTGCCCACATGAGTCAGAATCAGGTCGATGGCAGCTCTCAACAACATAGTGCTGGAAGAGGAGTCCCCGGGCCGGGAGACACGAAGTCCGCAGAGGCCTTGAGTACAGTTTTCCTGAGGCTGGTGCGGGGCCAGACGCTGTAAGCCAGAGCAAGCTGGACAGCAACTTTAACAGCCTGACAGAAAGAGACTTGTGCGGCAGTAAGCCTCCTGGTTGTGACCCACACTGTCGGGGTGCAGGCCCGAGGGGGAGGGGGAAGAACAGCGATGGAAGGGCATAGGAAATGTATGGTAGGATTAACGATAGGCAGTAGCATGCAGTGAGGGGGAAAGTGGTCAGTGGTCAAAAGTCACACAGGCACACATATCCCAAGTGCACTGTCCCCCCACCCTCTACAAGGCTTAGTGCCAGCCTGTCACTCAGTTACTCCAGCCTATTATAGCGTGCTTGGGACTTGGTCTCCATGGATCCTTCCAGAAGGGCCTTGCTCTGCGGCACTTCCTGCAGTAGTACCTCCCACTTCCTCTTCCTGTGGTGCAGTTGAGTCTCCACCAGGGCAGTTCACTGTGCCTATGTTTATGTGACCACGGAGGTCCTGTGCTCACCACAACCTCGCCACAAGTCTGTTAGCTCCAGAGCAGTCTAATTCAGTTAGCCTGGACTGCATCCTAGGCGAGTATTTACTCAAGGACTCAAAGGACCTCTTTACGAGGCATGGACTTTATTACCGTGAGGTTCCCAGGCTTGTTTGAGTTTCCTTGCCTCCTCCAGGGCAGAGGCTGTCTTCCAGCTCCACTGTCCCTCCCCACAGCCAGCAGAGCGAGGCGCTCCCCTCCATGGCTGCTCAGCAAACCACCTCGTGGTGTATGAGAGAATTCCGTCGGAAAGAGCTCGGCTCTCAATCCTGGTTTGAAACCCCCCACCCCTTTGCAGAGTTGACTTCACACAGCCTTGTCTCAGAAACAAGCAGGAGCCCATTGCTGGAGGAACAAGCTCCCCCCGTGGCTGTAGCTCCACAGTCCAGCTTCTTTTGGCTACCCCCTTCTCAAAGGAGGAGTAAACGGAGACAAGAGGGGATGCCGTGGGGCTCAGGTTTTGTTTGGGTTTGGGCATGTTTGTGTGTGCACACTGAAAATCAATACCACCCTGATGGCAATCTCCCGATTTCGGAGACAGAGTGAGTCCACCGGAGCCTCTGTCCACACGCACACAGAGACCCCACCCCGATCCATCTCTGTCTCGCTGAGTTCTTGAGTCAGGCCTTCTCATTTGACAAATTATCTATGCGATAAGCATCTGCCGATCGCTGGCACCAGCGGCTGATAGTCCCAGGGCTCTGAGCTGCTGTGTGGGGAGCCGTGAGCAGAGGGCTGGCCACGGGCTTTGATCTCCTCTCCAAGGACCAGAGGATGACTTCAGGGGCTGGTTCTGTGCCGGGAGTGGTGTGTGTTTTGCTAGACTTGTTTACCTCCCGGTCCGGGCCACAGCGCCTGCCCGAGAGGGGAACCACGTGTTGGCCCACACTGCGTCTCGGGCACTGTCTTGTGCGCGTTCCACCGGTGCCAGGTGTCTCTGGGATCCTTTCCTACCGGGAAGCTCCTGGTTGGGGGCCGGGTTTGGCTGCCCTCAGCCCCTCTCCCAGCATGATTCTGGCGAATACCCACACTCTGCAGGGCATCTGGAAGCCTGCTGGGCTGGGCAGGCACCCCCGGCTCTCCTGAGCTGGCTGGCGGGCTGTGCCCGGGGCTGCTCTCAGTGCAGGACAAGCAGCTCGGGAAGGGGGCCGTTTTCCTCTAGTGGAGAAGCCCGGTTGTCTGTGAATTGCCAAGTGACTGTGGGGTGCCCTGCAGAGCCCAAGGGCTTTCCTGCTTGCTCATGGTGGCAGGCCTTTGTGTGCCTGGCCATGGACCCCGAGGGCCAATCAGGTTAGTGGTTTGGGAGTAGTGCGTCTTTATGAATGGCCTCGTACAGAAGTTAAGCAGGGCTCTGCCGGCCAGCCGGCTGCGACCAATTAGGTGTCGGTCACAGCGCTCAGTAATCGCAGACACTGCCCTGGGCCTCCAGCTGGCTTAGAACTAGCTCCCTTTTCTCATTAGACATTCTCTTCTAAATGTCTAATTGTGAAAATAGTACATGGTTACTGAAGAAACTTTGGAAGGCTCCCCAACCCCACAAATAAGGCACTGAGCTCACCTTCAGACAACAGCATTCGGAGAGATGACCAGTGTAGCCAGTGGGGCTGCTTGTGGGCCCCCAGAAGCCTGCACAGCCCAGTGGACGCACCCAGGATGGTTCTCTGAGAGGGCCACAGCTCCGCCTGCGTGGTCAGAGGTCACAGCCTTTTTCCCGTCTGCACTGCGACTCACCTTAGGCAGAGCAGAGTAGACGAATGGTGGTGCCCGTGGCGCCTTTCAGGTACAGTGTTTGGGCTTAAGGACGGAGCCTCGCTCTGTGGGCCTGCATTCCTGCAGAGGTGAGTAGCAGCTCACAGGGGACTGTGGCCAAAATTGAAAGCTCTCTATCGAAGATCCCCGGTGCACAGCATGTTTCATGGTGGGCTGCTGACTGCATGGTGGGCAGTTCACACCCGCCAGCCCTTTCACCAGCGAGAAGGGGATGTGTGCCCACGCAGAGACGGGCAGGCTGAGCAGCCGGAGGGAGCAGTGCTCGGCTGTGCTGTGGGGTTACCCCAAGGAGTCGGCACAGACTCGTGGCAGCAGTGGTCTTGTTGAGTGTTTGCTGGGTCCCAGGCCCTGTGCTAACAGTTTCACGTGGGCTCTCTGTTTCTGACCATTTGAAAAGCAAGGAGGGACGTACACCTGGAACTCTGTCTGTTCATCCATCCGTCCCTCCTTGTTGCGTGTGCGGTGTTCCCTTAGTCCTTTGGTGGTGGTGGTGGTGGTCACCCTGCAGTCTGCTGTGGAAGACAGGAAGTGCTGGAGCTTGACACATGTCTTCAGCTGGTGGTTGTCCCCTGGGGTTCTCATCTGGCTGGCTTAGAACTAAGGGGCCCCTCTTGGTTTGGATGGGGGACATTCTCCTGCCAATTCTGCCCGGACCCAGGCCCCTCACAGGTGCCTCTCTTCCACCACCCTCTCCAGGGCAGGGGACAAAACAGCCCTACAGGGAGAGGGGACGAGGATTTCGAACACACCCCTGTCCTAGTGCTGATTCTTGCAGCAGCCGTTTGGGACGGGTTCTGGGGGTCCCGTTGCTTATCCTTTGTGGGGCCACAGTGTGAGGTCCAGCGTAGATTACAAACTCTCCCGCGGTCAGAAACCATCTTGTCTGATCCGTGCCTTCGCACCACCTCTTGGTCATTATTGCTAGCACACGAAGGTGGGGGGACCTTCCCAGCCAGATCCCTTAAACTAAGATGAAGCCGCTCTGTTCGCAAAGGCAAAAGCAGTGTGGAGCCCCTTGACCTCAGAGACCTGACACTGCCTGGGCATGCTGAGCTTGCGCCACGCAGCCCCTCAGGCAGAGAGCCTGGCACCTGGGTGGGGGGCAGCCGGCCTGCATTGACCGTGGGAGAGTGCAGGCGGAAGGCTTCGGCTGGCTGCAAGTATAGAATTGGAGCTGTTCTCTGAAACTCCCTGTTCCTTGTTAAATGGTAGCCCTAACTGTCCTCTTTCTCTCCGTAGTGGTGGAGGTCCAAGACGGGAAGACAACCACAGTGAGTATCACCGAGTTGACCTCTTTAACACTTGGAGCTGCCTGCCTGCTCCTCTCAGCGAGCGAGGGAGGCCCAAACTGGCCTCCTGCCCCAGCCTGGGCTCCCTCTGTGGCCATAAATCCCACAGTCACGCTGTGTACTCCAGTGGGGTTAATCAGGAACGGTCTCTGTGCCTGGACTGATTAGAGCAGCCTTGAGTATCGCAGGCACTCAGAGGCTTTTGCTGATGTGCTCTGAGCTCAGTGGTTAGTCCATTTCCTAAAGGAGACACTAAGGCAATGGCAGGCCTTGAGGGCCAGAGGAAGTTCACCCAGGCCCAAGATCTTGGCCTGCGTGCCTTTCCTTTCTGCCTAGAAGGATGAAGCCATTCTTTAAGTGTTCTGTTAAAAGACGAAGCCTCTGACTAGCCTCTAGCCAGGCTGTTGGTAAGAAAGCTAGGACAATTCTTCATCCACCCCTTGCCCTTCTTAACCCATCTCCCCTCCCTGCCTCAGGGAGTCATGGGGCCTGGATTAGCCTATAATCCCTAAAAGACAGTGCCATTTTCACATGGCCTGCCATGCCTCCAAGGAATTCCCTGCCACTCCACAGAGCTCCTAGAAGCCTCTCTAACTTCTCTCCCAACCAGGGAGTAATCCTCTTGGCAGCCAGCCAAGTCAGTCCTCCCCCAGGCAGACTCCTCCCCAGGCCAAGCCCTGGCTCCCCTCCCTGGTGGGGTCTTCCCTAGAGTGCACCCTCAGCCTTTTCACTGCTGAACCTCCAAGCAGCTCTCACCCAAGGGGCCCCTTCCTACCAGCTCCTTTTTGGTTTCCAGAAAAAGCCTTCACCCCGAAACTCTGTGTTGAAGGAGAGAGCCGTCTGCGTTCTGAGTGTGAAAGAGGGTTCCTCTCCTGTGGGGCGGGACGCTGCCCTTTGTAGAATGACAGCGGCTGGGGGCGCTGTGAATGCCCCTGGGGAGAGGAGGGAAGATCACCTCCGCACCCCCACCCCTGCACAGCAGGCCTCTGACCTCGGCATTTCACCCTGGGCTCTCGTGATACCTGCCTCCCTAGCTTGTGGGAATTTGGTGAGATCCTCGTGAGCTCTTCCTAGTACAGAGCCAGCCAGATACCAGGAGCTTCGAAAAGGTTTGTGGGAAAATTCCATTGTCTCTTCGTTCTGTTCTCCGTGACCTTTGTGAAGCCCCTCATGTACGTAATGGGAAGTCAGAAAGTAGGACTTGTCCCCCAGGCCCTCCCATGCACCTCCATGTCCCGTGTGGTTGGGGTTGCCTATCAGAAAGGCAGGGGCCAGGACCCGGCACAGGCCAGCTCCTCCCCCCACAGCCCAGGACCTCAGTCAGCTGTGCCTGCCAGGCCCCGGCTGGCCCGGGAGCCGACCCCCAGATCCTTGGTCTGTAGTGTTCCCACGACAGCAGCACAGGAGGGAGGCCGTTTCACCCAGAGCCTCCAGAAAGCAACAGAAGGCGCTTGATAGAGAAATGAACCTTGCTGGCTCGGTTTCCGCGCGAGAGGCGGCGCGCATGCAGGTGCCTGCTTGCACAGGCCAGCCGGGCTCCGCCACGGCGCTGCTGGTGTTTGGGGCCAGGTCGTTCTTGGAGGCGGGGACTGCCGACTGCCTTAGTCAGCACCCCTGGTCTCTGCCTTCTAGAGGCCAGTAGCAAACTGCCACCCTCCTCCCTGCCCCTAAGTACCATGACACAGGAAAATTCTTCATACAGTGCCAGGTAAATGCCCCTGAGGCACTCCATCAGCCTAATTGAGAAGCGCTGGCTTAGACATGTGTGTCTGACCGGCCCTAAAGGGGAAACGTAGATTGCTTCTCGGAGGCATTGTGAAAGTCTGTACCGGGTTCATGTGTTACTGCTGGGGGGGCGGGAGGGGGAGCCATCTTGTCCAGCAGGTGTCTTGGTTTGGTTTAAAAAGGAAAGGTGAATTTCAACAAGCCCCTCCTGACAACAGGGTGAAGTGCAGGCTGCTAACCGTATCCCAGGGCCCACCAGAGATAAGCTTTCCGCTCTCTGGGGAGCTTGCCTGGGATCCCTGGCCCCCTCATTGAGAAGGCCCTCTCCCTCTCTCTCTCTCCCTCCTAGATAGAAGGCTACATCACAGACACTCCCAAGGAGAGTCCAGACCCCCCAAACCCCTCTGGCCAGTGCCCCATCTGTCGTTGGAACTTGAAGCACAAGTATAACTATGAGGTGAGTGTGCAGGCAGCTACCCCCGCCCTGCCGTCCCAGCTTCCATCCCGTCTGCCCTGGTGAACTGGAGCCGAGGCCGCCGCCAGCCACTGCCGTGGGGTGGGGAGCCTCAGCGGCTGAAGGATTTCACCCAACACCTCACAGTCCTCGCTGCCTGTTAAACTCCTCCGGGGGCTGTAAGAAAACACAGGCACCCCACCCCCAGGGATTGGTTGGTTGGTCTGGGGTGGAGTCTGGGTTCCTTGTTGCTTAAAGCAACTTGGATCATTGAAACGTGTGGCCAGAATTTGAGGCCACAGATTTCGTTTGTGGTTTTAGAGTCACGGGGTGATGCCAACAATAAGCTCGCAGTGATTAACTGGAAGGGTGGAATTCAGGCCTGCCCAGAGGCACTAGGAAGAAAGACCTGGGTATCTGATTCTGAAAAATCAGCCATTCAAAACCCAATGGAGTGCAATTCTGTGCTGACACACGACGTGGCCAGGAGTTGGCAATCGACTGGACAACTAGAAGGATTTTAGTTTGTTGCAATTTGGTATTTGGGTCACGGGCCCTGTGACTTGCGGGGTGACGGGATTGGCTCCCCCCGTTTATCATGAGAGCTTGTCTTTGAAGAGGCACTCGGTCCTCGCTGTGGTCTGGGAACGCTTTGCTGCCCCTTCGTACTGGACTCAGAGAGCGTCTGGTTCTCCGGGCTTTCCTAGAACTGCTGCTTCCTGCAAAGACACTCGTCGTGAGCAGCACCTCTAGGTAGCATGTCGGGACTGCAGGTGCTCTGTCCAGTCCTTGTGGGCGCTTGTGTGCCCTCACCTGAGACATGGAGAGGTTGATTAGTGTGCCTTGACTCGGCTAGCCGGTGGCAGAGCCCACCTTGCTGACGCCCACTCTGCACACCTCTGGCTGGATCCGGGAGGCTGGGGGTGTGGAAGACCACCACCTGGAGAAATGTATGCTGGTTCTCCCGTGTTCCCCTTGGTGACATTAAGCACCTGTCTTTGGGTTTCAGGTGATTCAGGCTCTGGGCCCATTTGACCTGCCAGGTGTCCCTGTGCCCCTCTGTGGAATGGGATGACTAAGGACAGAGATCCTGGCCAGGTCATAAGGGCAGGAGAGGCCATGTGGCCGTGGGACCCGAGCAGAGTGACCCAGCTAATCTGCACGGCGGGACCTTGGCCTCAAGCCCCTTGCTGGCAGAGGGCGGGGGAGGGAACAGCCCTGCCCCATCCTTCTGCTGATGGGACCCAGGATCATAGGAAGCTTGGAGGCAGAGGGACACGGGTCGTAGGCTTCTGCGACGTGGAAGAGAGCGGGCTTGCGGGCACACTTGGAACCCACCCCCAACTTCCCTGTCACCTGGGGCACTCTTCCTCCCAGCCATTTCTAGGAAATGCCCCGGGCTTGGGCTCAGCTTATCCAGCGGAGGAAAGCTAATCCCCGCCGAGGGCCAGGCTGCAGTTGTTTTCCTTCACCCCTTTCTACACAGAGTACCATGAGCCTGAGCTGTGGAAAGCTGACACTTGCCTGGCAGCCGACCACAGAGGGAGGGCTGGGGCGGTGGAGTGCAGTTTATTAGCCCCAGATTAATCCAATCCAAGTTCGTTTCGTCAGATTTTGAAGATTCCAAGGATGGGAATCGGGGCCCTGGGGCCCTTAGGAGCTGTCCAGTGATTAACACAAATTTGGGGTTACCCATCAGGCTCCTCCCAGGCCACAGGTCAGGCTCTTGCAGACAGCCTGCCAGGCCCCGGGGTGCAGGTTGGAGGGTGCTCTAACCCCTCTGTATTTTTCCCACCTGTCCGAGTTGTAAGGAAAGCAGTGTCTTGGCTGGATCCTGGCTCTGTCGGCCCTTGTTGCCTGGCTCCTTCCAAAGCGACCCGGTGGGAACATGTGGGTCCAACCGGAGGCCAAGGCCCCACACATGGGGCCTGAGAAGAGGTGAGGTGAGACCTCCCGTCTGTCTTCACACGCCTGGCTTCTCACCATGGGGGCCTGGGGGTGAGGGGCAGCGGAGGGACTGTGGGCATGCACTCTGACCGTGGCTGGGAGGCTCTGAGGGCAGGGATGGCGCCAGGTCTTCCTCTTTAGGGGAGAGTATGGCATACCTCCTTATCCCACCCAAGGAGGGTGCCCTCCGACCTCTCCCCAGCAGGGAAGATCCTACGGGGATGTGCAAAGGCCGCGCTCTTGGAAGAGTTTCTGGCCTCAGACTTGGTGTGGCGCACACAGAGACGGTCTCCGAGGGGCACGGGAGCTCCGTGCAGGTGAACCTCAGTGCCTGTGAGGATGGAGCGCAGGTGGCCGAGGGAGGGGTTACACGTCCGTCGGGCTGCTGATGGCTAGCTCAGCAGTTGAAAACCTCCGGCCCCTCTGCAGGAGAAGGACGGGGTCTCTGCTCCATAAAGGAGCCCGCAGGGGCAGTTGTGTCCTGTCCTAGAAGGTTGGCATCGACTCGTTGGCATTTGGGTTGCAGAAGGTGAAGATGGCAGTGCGGTGTGCAGGTCGCTGCCTAAGAGAGACACTGGCATCTTGAGGACTGGGGTGCAGGACCTCCCCTGACCCTGCTGCCCCCTGCTGGTTGGCTGTTCCCTCTAGGATGTGCTGCTGCTGAGTCAGTTCATCCGGCCCCACGGAGGCATGCTGCCCCGAAAGACCACGGGCCTGTGCCAGGAAGAACACCGCAAGATTGAGGAGTGTGTGAAGATGGCCCACCGGGCAGGTAGGCGCCCCGAGAGTGGGGTCGCTGCTCCAGCCCCTCCTGGAAGGGAAGCGGTCCTAAGGCACCCCAGGGCCTTACCGTGAGACTCACCCCCACCCCAGCCTCCTGACCCCTCCGCTTTCCTCCCTGCAGGTCTGCTTCCAAACCATAGGCCTCGGCTTCCCGAAGGGTTTGTTCCCAAGAGCAAACCCCAACTCAACCGGTAAGCCCCCTGGACATGAGCAGCCCGCGGCCTGCGGCCCACACCTCCGACTGCATTCCACTGGAGAGCTCGTCCCTCAGCTCGGGGACCTGGCCTTTCCCTGGCCACTCTGCCTGCTGCTTTCCAGCCGCACCCCCCGGCCCTGCTGCACTCCCGTCCTCAGCCTTTGCTCTCCCTCCCCAGGCAGCCTCAGCGCAGGGGCTGAGGGGAGGAAGGCATGCGCTGTGATTGGGTGTGAGAAGTGCTCACCCTCTGTTCCTGACAGCGCTTTGACAAACCTTCAGGGTCCCAGCTCTCCAGCACGGGAGTTAGGAAAGGGTAGAATGAGGTCTTAGAGACAGAGGGCTTTGGGCAGGGCTGCTGTGTGCAGCTGTGCAAGTCGTGCACTATACAACTTCAAGGCCATAGTCGGAGAGGTAACAGCAAGCTTAAACAACCAACCCAGTGGCCCACCAGATCCTGAGGAGAAGGCCCCTGATGATGGACGAGTCCCAGGCCACCCTCTGGCTTCGGGAGGATTTGAGCTAGGGGCAGTGCTCACGCCCTCCCAGTCTTCTCCTCCCCTGAGGTACGGAGTGCCGGCCCGGGCCAGTTTGTCTCCTCTGCCAGTGGTCGCCCTCCTTCACTCAGTCTGTCCAGTCCCCCCAGCCATAACCAGCCTGGACTAAGGAAGATGGAAGGGCTCTCTGGAGGCACCATCCTCAACCATGCCTCCCAGGTCCCAGCAAACCCAAGCCCGAAGGGTCGGGCCACGCTGGCCCTAGCACGTGGTGCTGGGCTGGGGTGCAGGAGGTGGGCATGTGGGGCTGCTTCCCCTGGCGGCTGGGCCTTTACCAGTGCCTTACCAGTACCCCAGCCCCGTGCCCACCTCCACCTGCACCTCCCGCATTGCAGCTGCCAGCTGTCCAGTCAAAAGCAGGCCAGATTAACCTCTTCATTTCTCTCTCAAATGTGACATGGGCCTTTCAGGGTTGAGGCCACCTCCCCCATCTTTGTAAGTCGCAGCAGGCATGCAGTCCATCCTGAGCTCGGGTCTTTGAAGCCAGGCCAGACGCCCTCCCATACATCTGGTGTCTTTAACGTGACACGGGATTGATGGCGTGTGGGGGCTCTTGGGTTGCAAAAGGCCACCCTGAGGGGAAGGAGGGGAGTCCAGGCCCTGAGGGAGACTTGATTCCTTTGTGAGGGACTCTGATTCCACCCAGCAGTCCTTGAGCTGCCTGCACTGGCTCAGGCTCAGCTGGGGCCCAATGGAGCCAGGCTGTGTGCCAGCGGCAGCATCCCTTCTCCCCACCCCTCGCAGGAAAGATGGAAGGAACCCTGATGCTTTCTAGAGCTGTGGGGTTCCATAGTGTTGACAGGAGGCCACCCAAGTCAGCCCCCCCCAACTCCCACCCCTGGGCTGCACCATGTGCCACAAACATTGGGCTGGGGCCCCCAAAACAAACCAAACTCAATGCCATCAAGTCAGTTCCAACTCAGGGATCTTGTAGGACAGGATAGAACTGCCCCTGTGGGCTTCAGAGACAGGAGTGGAAAGCCTCATTTTCCTTTCTCAGTGTGGTTGGCAGTTTTGAACTGCTGACCTTGTGATTAGCAGCCTAACTCATAAGTACTACGCCACCAGGACTCCTGGAGCCTAGTCTCCCTCAAGTCCCTCCAGGGCATGGGGTTAAGAACAGCTGGTGGGCAACAGCCCGGGTGCTTGGGTCCCGATGAGCACCCCCTCTGGGACACTGCTCTCATGCCCCATCGTCTCTATCTACACTGGACGCGGGGAGGGGCAGGGCCAGGGCCGTGGATAGTCTTTTTTTCTTTTTTTTTTTTAATGAAAAAGCCTCTTGTTTGAGGGTCTCCAGGGCAGGCTGGTTGGGTCCCAGCCTTGCATGGCTGCAGGGAGGCTGCTGGCCTTTGCCGTGCCTGAGCCGCCAGGGCGAGGATGGGCCTCTCTGGATGGGCGCCGGGTTCCATTCTGGACAAAGCAAACCCTGGTCCCGGCCGGCATGAGCCACTTTTCTGGGAACTGACAGGGCCTGACCATCCCCAAAGGAGGCCAGAGGACCATGGGCGGGGGCCATCTTCCCTGCCCCCTTATACGTACAGGAACCTTCCTGGGTTAGGTCTGCAGCTCATGCTAGCCCTGCCCCTTGGCTCCCTTCATGGGTTGAGTGAGGGTCAGGGGTCCCACACCCGTTACGAGTGCCCGGGGGAGCACCCCAAGGCTGGAGGCCGTGAGCCAAGTAGGGAAGAGTGGAGGGCGCCTCCAGGCCCTGACATCAGCCTTCCTCCCACCCCCCACCCCCACCCCCGCCCCGAGCCAGAGGAGCGATCCGCTCTGGAGCTGCTCTTCTCCAGCCGCCTCCCCCAGCAAACTCCCAAACACCGACAACTCATAAAGATCAAGGCAGCGCGTGGCTCTGGGCTGCCGGCTGGCCCTGACCCGACCACACACTCGGGCAGCGAGGGCCCAGCCCATCTGTTTACAGCACGCGCAGCAGCCAGTCCCGGAAGAGCCCTGCCCTTGGAGAAGGGAGAGCTGGTGAAAGGGTTTGCGTGGCCGGCCCGGTAAGGCAGTGCCCTCACAGCCACACCTTGTCCCCCTCCGCAGGTACCTGACGCGCTGGTCTTGCAGATCCGCCAAGCCCATTTACAAGAAGGGCCCCCGCTGGAACAAAGTGCGCATGCCTGTGGGCTCACCCCTGCTCAAAGACAACGTCTGCTACTCTCGCAGACCTCTGCTGCTGTATCACTGACAGACTGGGGCTTCTCGAAGGCACCTCCTTGGGAAGGAAGTGAGCCAGCTCTGAGCCTCCACTGTTGGTTAGCCCGACCTGGGGCAGCCGGGCCCCTCCAGCTTGGGAGATACAAGGGATCCTTGGGAACTGCTGTGATCTCAAAACTCTCTTGGAATATGCTCGGGGGAGGGGGAAGCTGTGCCTGATGTCATAAACCAGGCTTGTGTGGTTACTCACTGGGTTGTGCTGACTGCTTGGAAGGGTACAATTCGAACCCATTTGGAGCCAATTGCTGAGCTCTGTGTGTCTTGTGAGGGACACCCTCTTGTCAGCTAACTGGGGGACTGCAAGGAGGAGCAGCCAGGTTGGGGTGCTTGGCCTGTGTGCAGCTCCCCTCTGAGGGCCCCGAGTATCACTGCAGCCACTCTCACACACCGGCTGTCAGCATCTCTCATCAGCAGGATTGGGCCTCTGCCTGCGCTACACTGGGGCCCAGCTCTCCTCAAAAACTGGGTACCAGCAGGAGGGGGGCGAGCAGAACAGACAGAGCCAGGTCACGCAAGTTTGTGAAATCGCATTTACACTCGACATCACGCTCCCTGGGCGACCCCCACCCTACAACATGAAGGGCAGGTCTATGTTCTTCTCCCCGGTGCCCACGTAGATGTAGCCGTAGTTCTTGGTGTAGGGGGCGTGGAAGAAGGTGAGGCCCGGCCAGAGCAGGCTGCGCAGCACCACCAGGGCATTGCCCCGCTCCATCTGGATGCTCCAGGAACCTGCAGAGAGGTACCAGGAAGGCCTGGCCTGAGGAGCCTGGCTCTGCCGCTCTGCAGAGGCCAGCCCCGGGACAGGGAGCCCATTTAATTGTCGCGGCACCGTCCTCCCAGTTGGCTTGTAGCCATTTCACTGCTCGTTAAGCTGTCCTCCTGAGGGAGGGCCACAGAAACGAAGGGCGGGAGACGCACTCCAGTCCTTTCTGTTCTGTCAGCAAGTCTTCGTGAACACTGCAGCGGGGAGGCGGCAGAGGCCCTAGATGTAGCCTGGCCCCTTTGCTCGCCTCCCACCCTCCGCCCCAGCCACTTTTGCCATCTCCCCAACCCTAGGAGCCCTCGGCCCCAAGATGGATGAGGAGTTTGGCCACTTGAGGCCGCCCAGCTCAATGGCCCTTGCTGGCAGCTCAGGACTGGGCGCCACCCTGCCCTCAGTGGAGGGGACCCTGGGGCTGTAGCTAATGAGCCTTTGTGCTCCCTGGGTTCTGCCCTGGTTTTCCTTCCCCAGACGGGAGACGGGCCTGGGGCTGAGCTGTGCTGCCGCGAGGACTTGGCCGGAAGGGTCTGATCCAGCTCCAGAACCCAGGGCGGGCGGAGCCGCTGTGTGGGAGGAGGGAGCCTGGGAAGATCTCCTCTGGACGCAGATCTGGAGCTTCTATTCCCCTGCGCACCGAGGCCTCTCCCCACCCAGCCCGGCTCCACGCCGCCTGCCAGGACGGCTAATGCTTTGAAGGTTGTGGTGCTGGACCAGCCAGCGCCACACTGAGGGCTGCAGGCAGGCCTTCATCAGCTGCCAGGTCAGCCCTGTTGCTTGGCTCCTGCCGCCCCAGCTTCCCACGGGCTTCCCCCAACAACAGCCCACCCTGGTCACTCCACACCCTGTGTTCGAGAGGCCTGACCACTGGGAACCCTGGCCCTGCTCAGCATGTAGTCCGTCACTTGCCCTTGTCCACAGCCAGAGCTCTGGGAGCGTAGAGGCCAGCCGCCAGCCCTGCTCAGAGAGGGGCCCTCAAGCCCACCTCAACACTGCGAGGGTGATGCAGATGCCACGGCTCCCCAGGCCCTCACAGCCCAGCAGTCGGGAGTGAGGAGGCATTGCCCCAGGTCTCAGAACTTTGGGTCGGCCCATTGGAGATCTAGAAGGCCTAGCCTAGCCTTCCAATCCCCGCCTCGGAACAATGGGGCTGGGAGCCCGAGGGAGCAGGCTCTCCAGGCACTGGGCAGCCTTTGCCAGAGCATGGGCTCTATAAGGGACCCCTCTGCAGCGCTCCCTCAGCCACCCCACCAGAGCCCAAGGCCACTTTCTAGGGACTGCCCCTCCTCGCCAGTGGAGTCCACAGTCACACAGCCCCATCACTTGGGAAGGTCAGGGTCTGCCTTGCTCTTCCCCACACCCAGGGTGGACAGCCAGGCCACCCCCTGGACAAGGGCTGAGTCCCAGCCTGCCCTCACACCAGCTCACCCTAGGAGAGCTGCCTCTCGCTTCCAACCGATGGAGAACAAAGGGAATGTGGCCAGAAGCATAGGACCTCATGGGGGAGGGTGGCCCCGCAGGCCCAGGGTGCTGGCCAAGCTGCTGGCGGCATGTGAGGGCTGCCCTGCCTCCCTCCCTCGCATTCCTGTCACGCTCCCATCCTCCCTGTGTCTCTGGCTCAGCTGGTCGCCCAGGAAACACAGACTCGGCGTGCCAGGAGTCACGTAGCGTCTACCTGGGGAGCTGGGCACTTGCTGTCACCTTCGCCCACTTTCCTGAATGCCACTACTGCACCAACCAGCCCTGCCACTCCCTCGGAGCCTCCTGCAGCCTGGTGTTTCCGCTCACTTTGCCCAAGCCCCCTAAGCCTCTCCTGCTCCCTGGGAGCCAGTCTGCTCCAGACTGCCTGGATTTGGAAGGTGTTGCTGCAGGGGCATGGGCAGGAAGTCCTGGGTCTGATGGGCCTGCAGGTTCGACCCACCTTGTAAGGGTAGGAACCTCAGACTGGGTGCTACATCAAGGAAGGCAGGCAGCATGCAGCAACATGGCTTGGGTGAAATTCGAGAGGGCAAGGGCCTAGCTGGGGACCAGGCTATGCAGAGGCAGCAGGGGGAAGCTGGAACCCCCTCGCGCCTCACACCAGCACCACAGACTACAGAGGGAAAGCCAGGGGTGCTTCCTGTCAATAGAGTGGAACTAGAGTCCTGGGGGCAGGCTTGTGTTTGATGGATGGGGAACCGGCCAGGGTCCACGGTCCAGAAGGTCAAGCACCCATCAGTCAGACCCCAGGGACTGCGGTGGGAGGTGTCTGCACTCCTGCTCCCTGGAGAAGGCTGAACCTTTTCCATCGCCAGCTCCTCCCTCTGCTCCAGTTCCCACTGCACTAAAGGCCCGCCTGGTCGGCCAGGCCCTTTGCTGCCCTCTGCTGTCTCAACTGGGCTATGCCACTGAGCTTCCGCAGATCTCTGCCCCAGCCTGCACAGACCAAAGAGCTGTGCTCCCTGCAGGCTCCCCACACTGTCTCCCTCCTCCTCCCCATTCTGTATGCCCCTCTCTGCTTCCCAGGACACCAGGCACCCCATTTTTAAGGCCCCTGTCACATTCCCTTTCCCATGCGGTTTAATTTGATCTTCCCAAACCACTCTTTTCACCATGGTAGTCCAAATGCCTGGTGTGTAGAAGCTGCTCAGTGACCACTTGCTGATGGGCGTTGAATGCCAGTGTCTACCTAGAAATTTGGTCTCCTGCCTCCTGACCTAGTGTTCCATCGATCTCGTCTGACTGCAGCCCAAGGTCAGAGAAGGAGGGTGCTCCTGCTGTGCCCAGAATGAGGTGATAGCTGGCCCCCAAAGCCACCCACTCCCATCAGATTGCACATCCAAAGTAAGGAACATGGCTCAAGAGAGTGTACATGGCCCAAGAAGTACCTTGCTTTGGCCAAGGCTGTCCCAGGACAGTCTGCTGGTCTGCCTTCACGTAGGCGCGCACACACACACACACACACAGGAGTGACAAGGACAGCCTAGCCACACGGCAATCACCTCAGACCCAGGAAGGACAGGATAGGGAAATCATGCACTTCACCTGGGCAGAAGTCCCATCCCTCCCACCAGGCCTGGTGGCCTAGGAAACCAGCAGCCCTGTAGAACAGCCTGGCCAGCATGGGCCTCCACCTGCCTGGCAGGACAGGCTCTCTGCTGCTCACTCCACTTTCTCACCAGCTCATCAGGAGAGGAGTCTGGGTGTAAAATCAGAGTTTCCTATTCTGCCCACACATGCACACTGCCACCACCGTGCCACACAGCCCCCCTGGCAAGTAATGGCTATGCTGGGCCTCTTGGGGACAGCTCTGGGAATAGGGAGCAGGAGGCCCCCAGGCCTGGGGAGGTGTCCCAAAGTAAGGGCCAGGTGTGCCTTCCCCTTGGACCCATCACATGTAATACCAGGGGCCCAACCCTAGCACAGATTCACTGAGTGGAAATAGGAGGGAAGCCAGCAGCTGGTCCTTCCCCCCCAAGACCCACCATTAGAGCAACATAACTAGGGCCTTAGGCTATTCCAACTCACCAGCCTTCTAGCCCATCTCTCCTACACCCCCAGGACTTGGTCCACAGGTCCCATCAGGATGCAGGGCAGCCCCCCTGAGCTTACAGCTTCCTTCCCCAGGCTGTGAGGGCTCAGCCCTCTGTGGCCTTCACCTCAGTGGCAGTCAGGTAGACCTGCTGAGGTTTCCTTAGGAAGCCATCTGGCCAGGTTTGGTCTTGGCAGCAAAGGCGCTAGCACCCTGTCACCTGCCCTCCATTTCCACCCACTCCCACAGCCCAGGGGAGGCGGCTCCCTGGGGAGCAGGCCCTGCTGAGTCAGTTGCAGCCCCAGCAGGGCATTCCAGCCTCCCAGAATCAGAGGGGCGGGGCAGGCTGCTGCCCTCAGTTGAAGAGGTTGTCTTAGCCTACCCCCTAAACCTCTGGTGCTCAGCCCCCTCCGCTTTCCTGGATCCCTTTATGAAAGGGGATGGGCGACCACCTCAGCTCCCAGCCAGGCTGGGAAAGCAGAGCTAGCTGAGACAAAGGAGATCTGGGTGTGAAATACCCCAGTCCCTGAAAACCCTACTCCCCTCCCCCAGGGTCAGAGCCCCTTTCCAGCCCTCACTGCAGGGTTGGCCATACTCTGGACGGCTTGACTCGGGTGACCCCATGTGGCGGAGGCCAGAATGGCTGTTCCTTGATGGAAGCAGATACTTGAGACCCCTCTTCTGGTTCCCAGGGCAGTGCCCAAACCCACGCCCCCTGCATCAAGTCCATTCCTGTTCGTAGCGGCCCTGTGGGATAGACTAGGACTGCCTGGAGGATTTCCAAGGTGGTGAACTCTTTACAGAAGCAGCCTGCCTCCTCTCTCCCACAGAGTGGCTGATGGGTTTGGACCACTTCAAACAGCCAAGTGCTTCGACCACTGTGCCACCAGGGATTGCAGTAGCTCCCAGATGGCCTCCTGGTCCCTCGTTTGTCCCTGCTCAGTGCACTCTCACAGGCTCCCCCCAGGCCGCTAGCAGCAGCTCCTGCCTTGGCCTTCTCGGTCCTCCCAGGTCTGCCTGGCCCCACGCCAAATCTCTCTTGCCACTAAAAATATTATCAAGAATACTTTGTAGTTCTGTGCCCTTACTATGTATCGAGCACCGTGTTCAGTATGCTGTGTATGTTGACTCTGTATACTTGTTGAATTCTCATAACCATTCCAATCAGGTAGAAAATCTCATTCCCCATAGCTTATAGAAATGAGGAAGCAGAAAGACCAGACTCCTACTCCCCTAAAGAATTAACCGTCTCAGGCACGCACAGGGGCAATTCTACACTGTCCTATAGGGTCACTACCACTCCATGGGAATGAGTTTTCTGTTTTGTTCTGTTTTGAGTGAGGCACAAGGAAACGGAGGTACATGTTTGCAGTCACACACAGCTGGTAAGAGACAAGGCCAGCATTCTGGCCCAGCCTGGTGGACCCAGAGCCCTTGCCTCTAACCTGTGCCGTCCTGAAAGGGCCCTGGTGGTGTCGCATGTCAGCGACTGAAACCCACCCCCGCCATTCCTGGGCGAGAGATGAGGCTGTCTGTGGCCTGCATGCACAGCCTCAGAAACCCTCCCTGTCCTGGGGGGTCGCTAGGAGCTGGTGTGCCTGAGAGCCAGCCCAGTTGGATAGCTCACTGTTCCTCAGAGGTCTGTCTCCCCCTAGTGGTGGGGGTGACTACCGTCCAGCTACCCCCTTTGTAGGTTGAAAAGGAACTCTATCAGCCACCACGGTCAATGCCAGAGGCCTGGAGGTAACGCTCTGACATTCCGTGCCTCTTTGGGCCTCGCTGTCTGCGCCCCGGTTTTCACCTATTGGGTGGGAGTCCACTGAGAGCATCCACTTCATGGGGTGAGGGCGAGGGCGAGGTGAGACACTGAGGGAGAGGGCTGAGCCCAGTGCTGGGCGCACAGGAGGCCCTGCCATGGCTTCTGTGACCTTGTTGCAATGATCACCAGCGCTGCCCTTCTCCTCAGCCGCCCGTTCTCCAACACCAGGTGTGGGGAGGGCGAGAAGACGGTGCTGCGTGAGGGTCTGGGTTTGACCCCTCACATACAGTACAGGCTCCAGGACAAAGCAGCTTCACCTTCGGCACTGCTCAAGGGAGGGAACCGGAACGCCTGGACCACCCGCCTGCTTGGTGCCTGGGTCAGACGGGCTCCGGAGCCCAGGATGGGCTCCAGTGATGTGGATCGCTCCAGAGGCTCCTCCAAAGGTTCCCACTCAGTCCATCAAGACCCGCTTACTGAGCACCAGCCGTGGGTCAAGCACTCCCCCAAACCCAAACCCCGGAATGTAGCTCTGCTCAGTCTGCCCAAGGGCACTTGCAGGAAGTTTCAAGGAGAGCATCCCACCCTGTCTCCATCCACTATTGCTGCGAGGTACTGGCATGCTGACTGCTTGTGGGAGCTTGTGGAAGACGGTCCCATGTTTGTCATCCAGCAGGCATGTACTCACTCCGTGCCCACTGTGACCTGGGCCCGCTACTGTGCTCCAGGGAAGCCTCGTCCTCCAGAGCCGTCAGTGCCCCGCCAGCTCCCACCCAGGCTCCGCGCCCAAGGAGAACAGCAGGAGGCCTGCCCCACTGCCCTGACCCAGGGCCACTTCTGAGGACCTCGAACGAATGGGCCGTTACCTTTGGGGATATCATACTCCAAGGAGTCCATGAAGTCCAAGGAGGGGTCCAAGTCAGCCTTCTCAAGCAAGGTCTTATTCTTCAGCTCAGTTGCTTCCTTGAAGTGAAAATAAGAACCAAGCTTCTTGGCCTCAGACAAGGACAGCCCTAGAAGGAAGAAACCGGTGGGGAGGGCTGGTCAGCTCCCCAGCTCCACAACGCTGTCCTCTCTGCACGGGAACTCCTGGAGGTAAGCACTAACACATGACCAAAGGCAGACGAGGAAGGAGATTCCCACGTTGCCTTCAGCTCAGACTTGGTCCAGAGCCTACAATGAGGAGGGAGGGGGAAACAGGTGGCACAGACCACCCCAGAAGCCCTAGGGGGTGGGTCCGAGCATATGTGCTACCATCCCTCAGGCACAGTCCGATGACTAGGTGGTCCGTGCCAACCACTGATGGCAGGCCACTGGGCACAGCCTCAGCTGGTGACGTGATGACAGGTCTCCCTTCCCTGAGGACATGGCCAGCTGCCCCCTGGGCTCCTGGACGTGTGGGTGGGAAGAGCTCCGCCCCGAGAACTCACCTTCAAAGGTCCGATTGACGTGGGTGGGTCCCAAGGGGGTTTTGAACAGGGCGCCCCGGGGGACCATGGCCACAGCCTTGTCGATCTGGTCCACGACGGACACTAGGCGGGTCTCCTCCTTGACCTGAACCTGAGGGGACAGGAGGCGAGCCCTCTCTGATGTCGATATTGCACTGTGCTCACGGACACGCACGGGCCCCAGAGTCACTGCTGCTCATGCCCGCTTGGCGGAAATCTCATGGGGGCACTTCCCTAATAGGATTCCAAGCTCCCTCCCCGCCCGCTGCCATCAGGTTGACTCTGGCACGCAGCCACCCCGTAGGACAGAGGAGGACTGCCCTTACGGTTTTTGTTTTTTTAATCATTTTATTGGGGCTCTTATCACAATCCCTCCATCCATCCATTGTGTCAAGCACATTTGTACATTGGTTGCCATCATCATTCTCAAACATTTGCTTTCTACTTGAGCCCTTGGTATCAGCTCCTCATTTTTCCCCTCCCTCCCCAACCCTCCCTCCCTCATAAAGTATTATTGTCTTGTCGGTTCTTCGGGTTTTAACAATATGATTGATTGATCATATTTCTGATATTGCCTCAAGTTATTGTTCAGATACAAAATGATTGACAGGAAGGTAAATGGTCTACATTTTAAAACCATGTCAGTGCAGTTAACAGATGTCCCGTGACTGGTTGCTGAATATGGTTTTTAACGCTCAAATTCTGTTTTAGAAAATCGTTTCCTTGGCACACGCTTCATGGCTCTCACAAGTGACTCGTTCCGTCACGTGGGGAGGCTTTGTGCATCATCACGCAGCCATCCCGTTTCAGAAGGCTTTCTTGTTGCATCCATTGTAGGTGGCCCCCCACTGCCCCCTGCCCTGCCCCTAGCTCCCTATCAGTCCAGGTACTCTCGTGACCGATCTGCCTGTCCTGGATTTCACATACAGAAAATCACATAAAACATAAACAGGAAGCAAACAAGTAAAAACCAATGACAACGAGTAAACAAAACAGAGAGAAGCCTCAATCAACAAGAAAGCAGGAAATAGGAAAAACGGAAAACCCTTGGGGGTTTTGAGACTGTAAATCCTTCCGGGATGGACTGTCTCTTCCTTGGCCCTTGGTGCGGCAGGTGCGCTGCATGGTGGGCTCTGGGGCTCTGGGCACTCACCCCGCAGCACTACACTACCGGGGCTCCTGGAGATGCAGTACTTCCAGAACTGCAGTCTGTCCCTCAGCCCCCCAGTGGCTCCCTTCCCAGGAGCCAACCACCACTAACAGTTTCTTATGAACCTTCTAGAGCAGCAGTTCTCAACCTGTGGGTCACAACCCCTTTGGGGGTCGAACGACCCTTTCACAGGGATCACCCGATTCATAACAGTAGCAAAATAATAGTGATGAAGTAGTCATGGAAATAATTTTATGGTTGAGGGTCATCACAGCATGAGGAACTACATTAAAAGGTCACGGCATTAGGAAGGTTGAGAACCACTGTTCTAGAGAAACAGCATCGTGCTGAAATATTGCCTATATCTGTGGGTGGGGAAAAGCATACCAGACGTCACGAAGACCACTCAGAATCCCACCTCCTAAAGCTAATATATCGGCAGGCATTCCTTGTCTGTTTACATCTATGCATATATTGAAAGCAAAATTAGTCACTGTTTAATAACTTCATATCCTGCTCTTGGACTTGCCATTATTCCCCAAGCATCTTCCCAGGTGGTAACATTTTTTTTTCTTTTTTAACATTTTATTAGGGGCTCATACAACTGTTATCCCAATCCATACACACATCAATTGTGTAAAGCACATTTGTACATCGTTTCTCAAAACATTTTCTCTCCATTTAAACCCCCGACATTAGGTCCTCATTTTTCCCCTCCCTCCCCGCTCCCCCCTCCCGCATGAGCCCTTGATAGTTTATAAATGGGTATTTTGTCATATCTTGCCCTGTCCGACGTCTCCCTTCATCCACTTTTCGGTTGTCTGTCCCCCAGGGAGGAGGTCACACACAGTTCCATGTAATCGGTTCCCTCTTTCCTACCCATTCTCCCTTTACCCTCCCTGTTTTGCCACTCACACCACTGGTCCTATAGGGCTCATCCGTCCTGGATTCATTCCCTGTATTTTCAGTTCCCATCTGTACCAGTGTAAGGTGGTAACATTTTTATGTAGATGAAATGTGGTTGGTATCAAGGGACCCTGAGCAATGGAGCTTCTCAGAGATGTTTGGGAGGAAGCAGCACATGACAAGGAAAGCCTGTCACCAGAAGCCCCTCTGAGCCACTGCACCAGCTACTTCCCCGAGCCACCGAGAGGAACCGTCGTCGCAGAGGAGGAGATGGAAACTTATTTACCACGTGCTGGGTGGGGGCTCCGCACCCACCACCTCACTTACTCAATCCACGTCAACCTGCAGAGTCAGCCCTCAAGGGAGCAGGACCAAACGCATATGAAAACTTGAAAGGTCCACACCGTAATAAAAACCTCTTTTTACCAAATGCACCATAAAAAGTTTCTTTAAAAACAAATCCCTGCAAAGTAAAGACATTTCCCTCAGAAAAGAAGCTCAGGGAGGGTTTGCTTGTCAGGTGCCGGGGGTTGAGGTTACAGCTGAGATGTTGCCGCCACCTGCAGACTCTGTGAAGCTAGGCTGGGCTTCAGCTCCAGGTTCCTCTCATGGTAAACCTTGGGCTCCTTACCTGGTGACCTCCCAGTCCCACTTCTAGGAGGTGGCCTTGTAGATAGTGTGCACACACGGGAAGCAATGTGTGAGTACAAGGGAAGTGATGTGTGCACACGAGGGAAACTGTGTACACGTGGAAAACTACACATGGGAGATGATATGTGTAAAGGGGCACTGTTTGGGCGAAAACTCAAAACCCACATGAATCAGACACTGACTACCTAAATTAGGGTCCATTCACACACTGGTGAAGAGAATGAGGAGGCTCTTCAGGCCCATAATAGGCAGATCTGCTTCTTGGAAATATATCGCCACTGGACGGATTACTATTTGCTCAATGAAAAGGGCAAGGCGCAGAAATGCGTCTATGTCACGCGCTACCACTTGTTGCTTCTCCTTTGAACAGGTGAAGAGATCGTGTACAGGGACGTTTTCTGGGGCTTGAATTCTTCCGGAAGTCTCCTCGCACTCCACCTGAGCTCTGGGCAGCACGTGCAGGTGCAGGTTCTAAGGCCACAACTCCAGATTCTGTGTGCTTAACCCCCAGGGCATCCGGGCTCTTTGGATCCTGAGCACACTGAACAGCAAGATCCAAACACACACACACACACACACACACACCAGCAACATTAATGCCCCCCAGAATGAGGGCCCGAGGGCCTGGGTGGGCAGTAGACAGAGATGGCAGGGAAACTGAGTGTGTGGTTGGCTTTGCTGGGATCTTCATTCTATTGAGGTGGTCTGGACCCCAGCCCGCCACATCTTTGGGGTGTGCCTGTATCTGCATGGCCCTGGGCCAGTCCCTTAATCTCTCTAAACTTTAGTTTCCTCCTCGCCCTCTCTGTAAAGTAAGGCACTGCCTTCTTAGAGCTGCAAAACTTAAGAGAGAACACACGGGGCCTGGGCACCAGGGCCCTGACCTGACCAAGGGGGAGGTGTGGCTATGGTTTCTCGGGGGCGGGGTTTCTGTCTGACCGGCCCTCCTCCTCTTCGTCACCCCCTCCCTCTTTACTCACCACCACTTCTTCTTCAAAGGCCTTGTCGGCCTCGGTCACCTTCTGCAGCTCCGTGTGTTCGTACTCATGACTGGGGTCCCCCATGAAGCGCCCGTTCACCATCGATGTCTGCAGCAGCATCTCCTCGGTGGCAGGGGGCAGGAGGCTCCATTCTATGCAGTTCAGGCTGTCAACAACATCCACATCACCCCTGGGATATGACCTCTCTCACCCCCGGGCTTCTGCCTTCTCCTTTCCTTAGGGAGCTGAGCTCAAGAGGAGCTGTTGGGGTCTCAAGGCTGTTCGGAGACCCTCCGAAACCCTAGGTGCTTGCATCACTGTTTGTGAATAGGTGATGTCAAAGCCACTTTCTTTGTGGAACGATCACAAACGTTTCACATCTCTAGGAACTCAAAGAGCTGCTTCCTAGATCTCTGGGATGTAACGTCCTGGGAGAAGTTTCTGGAAGGAAGCTGAACGTTCAGTGGTGTGTTCCTGCATGGCTTGGTCCCTGAACTCTTGCTCAGCCTTCCGAGAGCACAGCCATCGATCTGCCCCCCTTCTCAGGGAAGTGCAGCCCATGCTCAAGGACCGCTCGCTCTTCCTATGAGGTCTTCAGGAGTAAGACCACCAGCCCAGAGCCTGCCCTCTCTCTTACTTCCTGCCAGGAGAGGAAGCAAGGGCCTCCCGCTCCCGTAGCCTGCTCACTGTGTCCCCAGCCTGATCTCCACTGGCTTCTTGCTCTTCCCTCGCCAGAGGATCCTTCTCAACATAAAACTGCTCAGCCTTCAGAACAGCCACACCCAACAAAATCCAAACCCACAGCCATCGGGTGGGCTCCAGGGTTTCCAAAACTGTGCCCTTTTATGAGCGCCTCATCTTTCTCCCACGAAGCAGCTGGTGGGTTTGAACTGTCTTAGCAGCAACCCTCCCTTTTCGAAAATGCCCCTTTCTTTTTCCTAGCCCTCTAATCCCCTTCCTAAACTTGGAACAAAAGTCTCAGAATAAGAATTTGCCTTGTCCGGAAACTTGAGTACACCTATCCCCCCTCAATCTCCTCCTCAGCCCACTACACTGGGATTTCTTCCCCCACCACTCTCAGAAAATGCTTGGGAACAAGTCACCAGTGGGCCCCAAAAGGCACTCAATGCTGGTCCATCTCTGCATCTTTTGACATCCCCTCCTCCCTCTTCCAGTGCCTTAAGCACTTCCAGGGTTCTGTTCTCAGACATTTTTTCTCTCTGCAGTCTCAGCCAGCTGAGTCCCTGGGCTCAACTACTGTCTAGTTGGTGAACAGAATCCAACCACCTCCAAGCAGCCAAGGAGGAGGAAAGAGAGAGAGAAGCCTAGTCTAGCCCTGAATCCAGACTCCTAGCTTACAAAACCCCACTGCTTGCACCCTAGGTCCAGTCGCCATCTCCTCTTATCCAAACAGTGCAGCTGCTTCCACACCCAGTCCCTCTTCAGTCTATCCCCACCCAACAACCAGATTGATCCTGTTCAAACCTAAGGCAGATCATGTCCAGAACCTTCCAGTGGCTTCTCCTTGGAACCAAATACTGGCAATGTCCCAGAAGGTCTTATATAATAGCCTCCCGGCTCCTTACCTCTCTGACCTCGTATCCTGCAATGTTCCTCCGCCTTTCCAACCACACTCATGTATCTATGGGATTCCACAAACTCACCAGGCACATGCTTCCTCAGGGCCTTTGCACTTGCTACATTCTTCTCTCCCTCAGTCCCTTCAGATCTCTTCTCAAATGTCATCTCATCAGTGTGCCTGCCCATTGCTGACCATTCTTTTTAAAACAGTGTCCCATCAGCTATCTTCGCCCAGTACCTGTCAATATGACCCTTTGGAATTAAAGTTTCTTTCCTTGTGTTCATGAGAACATCAAAAATGAGTAGGTCCTGAACTTATCCATTCTGGAACACTCACACACACACAGCAGAAGACAGATGCCATATATGAAGATACATCTACAAGCAACCAAGAAAGCAGGGAGAAGGAGAGACGCTGCCCATGCCCTGAATTCAAACTTCTATCCTACAGAAGTGTGAACTACATTCTCGTTCTTTAAAGTCAAGCACTTGTGGTATTTCTTATAGCAGCACCAGGTAATGAAAACATCATGTAATATACACATGTACTGTCTACCACCCTTACACACACACACATTAATCGAAGCTCCGTGGAGACCACAACTTGGTCTTTTTTTACCATGAAATCCCTGGTGCTTAGATCAACACCTGGCACATAATAGGTGCTCAATTAATGAATGCTAACAGGCTTTTTTTTAAAGAGTCCCAATCTCTTATTTTCAGCCCAAATTTCTCTTCTGCAATCCACACCTGCATTTTGACATGTCCACAGAGTCCTGGTGGGGTAATGGGCCATACCTTGAGCTGCCAGCAGTTGGAGCCCACCAGTCATTTCACAGGGGACAGACAGGACTGTCCACTCCCTTAGAGAAAGCCAAAGGGGCAGTTCTACCCCTTAACGCTTCCCAGCCCCTCCCCTCCATTCGGCCAGCCCCTCCTTCCTTCCCAGCCTTTTAAACTTCTACAAGCTTCTCTATGTTCACCCCCCATCCAGGCCATCCCTCCACTCAGGTCTGAGCAGCCGTTTCTTGCTGAAAAACCCTCCTGATTCCTAGTGCCTACAGGCCCACGTGCAAGGCGCCTGGCCTCTCCATCCGGGCACACATGGCACACTATGCTACCACTGTCTTGTTAACCTACCTGCTCCCCCAAATCCCCCACATCCTCCCGGCCAGCCAGTGCCCACTGAACTACTGCCTCTGCCCTCCTCCTTCCTTTGCCGACACCTCGGCTCACACATCTCAAAGCAAGCCCCTCCTTCAGTAACCTTACTGGCCCTGGGGAAGGTATCCCCTGGGGTGCCTCTGTGGGTAGCTCTGATGTGGTTGTCTCACGTGGCATCGCGATGTAATCGCTGGCTTACGCGTCTGCCTCCCCCAGTGGACAGACTGAAGGCCAGGGTTCGTCTTAGCCCCTCTCTGTAAGCCCGTGTGAGGACGGACACGCAGATAGATACAGCCCTGCCTCCTGAACAGACAGCTCCGCGCCATTGTCGGGGATGCTCACAAGGGGGCCTTGGACGGTCCTAGACGGTCATGTCCAGGGACTGGTCGCTCCATTCCGCGTCCCTTC